GCTCTGGAAATGAAAAGGGTTCACAAGAAATATGTTACTTAGCGTGAGAACCTACTCCACCCCGCATTGCAAAGGCGAATGAGCAGCTCCACGGTATGAAAATTTGATGTTTAGCGGATCACGAAGGTAACCGTGTGGTGTGCGAAGACAGTCACCGTGGGGTTAATAGTGTTCCGCAACTCCCTAGACACCTAAAAATATCTGGACACTACAGCATACTGGATGTCGAGTGTGCAGGGTTGACGTGGTGGGTGGCGAAACACCAAACCCGGAAGTGATTCTGACAACCCTAAAATTCCAACCAATCACGTATGATTACGTCATGTGTTGCTCAAGCCCAGGCAGGGTGATGAACCCTAATCGACCAAACTGCATTTCGTCTCAAAAATCCGACCGTTGAAAAGAGTCTCATCGTGCTGGATCTACGTGTTTCTCGAGCTAATTCCGGAAACATTGGAGCGCACAATTCTTGGACCACAGCTGACTGGGCATTCCAGACCAGCGAGAATCAGAATCAGTCACTAGTGAAGGGAGGCAATCAAGCGTTAGCAACCATCCGCGTTCATGTCAGTCCACGTCATTTGGAATCTGACGGACCCAAAGGCAGCACCGAAACGTGGGTGTCGAAACTGTGTTGCGGAACCACATCATTGGGCGATGCCTCTTCAACCCCCCATACACCAGAGAGCTCACACAGTTCCAGGGATAGCACCAGCAGCCAGAACACACTCCGTTGCATGACGATCTGAATCTCCAGTACCGCCAGCTCGTAGGTGATTCCATTCCATGGCTTCACGAGATGCAGCTTGTGATTTTCCCTTTCACCCGATTTCAATGCCTTTCCCATTTGGCGGAGCGTGGCTAGACGTCAGTGAGGAACACGCTAATAAGCTTAAACCCGGAGAATGGGTGACCGGAATCGTCATCGACTGGCTGGGAGTGTGAGTTATGAGTTTAATTTCGTGAGAAGCCAAAGTAGGACTACTTTGTAGGTCTAAGACGCTTATAATGCGTTATGTTTCAACAACCACAGGATGCTTCAATATGAGCACAGTCGCGACAACAAGATGTGGCTGTACAGTGGATCCTACTTCTGGAACTACGCTGGAAGGGACATTGCGAAGCGGGGTAACGCCCATCTTTTTGGGCTGGGGATATTCGACTACAACTATATTCTCGTCCCGATCAACAGCGAGTGGGTGTCAATCGCTTGAATTCCAGTCATAATTTTGATCAACGACTATTTCTGACAGATACTCGCTCATCGCTTGTTGTAGGTATCATTGGAGCTTGGTCGTCATTGAGATAATCCCCAAACCAGATGAGAACATACCCATGACCTGCGTTCTCTGGCATGCGGATTCGTACGGATCCCACGAATCCGTGGACGCGCCTTTGCGAAGGTACTGTCAGAGGACGTCATGGGTGTGCATTCTATCGTAGAAGCCCGATCTCTAATCTTCCATTTGTGCTCCGTCATTCAGGTACTTAAGAAACGAGGTTATGAGGGTCTCAACTTGGATCCTTGATTCGGACGCAGATGCTTGGGCTGCGAGCATCCCTCTGCGCGTCGTCAAGGTGACCTCTGATCCCGTTGTCTTAAATGCCAGCTCTCAATCAACGACCCACCTTTTGACAGCCACGTGCATGTGCGAATGTGTGTTGACAGATTCCGTCGCAGACTAATGAGAATGACTGCGGTGTGTTCACGATGCGCGTGATGCACACACTTGTTGAAAACAAGTTCCATAACCTGGGTGCGTGTAAGCTTGTTGGTACACCGAGTAAGTGGCGCCGTCAGTACCTTCGCGACCTGAAGAAGTGGTCTGTCTTCTTCCTCGAAAATGCGTTGAACCAACCTCGAAACCAGGAGGAGGAGGTGGATGAGGAGGATGAGAAGGTGCAGGCGGATGTAGTGGAGTAGGTGGAGGAGGAGTAGGAGGAAGAGGTGGAGGAGGAGGAAGAGGAGGCATGTGAAGCACGTGGGGCATGAATGGCGTGTGAGGTGTTTGAGGCATGTGATGCATCGAGCCGGCATGTGAGGCATACGAGGTATACGAGGCATGAGAGGCAGAGCTCATGTGAGGAACATGATGCACGACGGGACATGTGAGGCACGTGAGGCATGCGAGGCACGTGAGGCATGAGTGGCATGTGGGGCATTGTGCTGACATGTGATGCATGTGAGGCATACGAGGCATGGGAGGCGGAGCTCAGGTGACTCCCGTGAGGCACGTGTGGCATGTGAGGCACGTGATAAATCTGAGGCACGTGAGGCATGTGAGGCACGTGAGGCATGAGTGGCATGTGTGGCATCGGGTGAGGTATCGTGGTGGCATGTATTCATGTGAGGCGTGTGAGGCACGTGAGGCATGTGAGGCATGTGTGGCACTTGCGGCACGTGATGTCGGTATGAGAGGCGCACCTTGTTATTGATGATGACCCAGCAGTCAACTCTCTTGTTAAGCCTCGCTACCTCCTCCTTGTATACACCTTGGTTTCTTAGGCAGCCTGTCAGTGGGATGAACTTGTCGATAAAGTATGGATAAACGGGCAGGAGATATGGCAGATGAATAATGTCCGGCGAATGTGGTCTTGTGGACCAACTGGATAGAGAACAAGGAGGTGTAGAGGACGGAGAGGTGCTGAGAACGGAGAGGTGCAGAGAAACGAGAGGTGTAGAGGACGGAGAGGTGCAGAGAACGGAGAGGTGCAGAGAACGGAGAGGTGCAGAGAATGGAGAGGTGCAAAGAACGGAGAGGTGCAGCGGACGGAGAGGTGCAGAGGACGGAGGAGAGGGGCAGAGAACGGAGAGGTGCAGGGAACGGAGAGGTGCAGGGAAGGGAGAGGTTTAGCGAATGGAGAGGTGCAGTGGACTGGGTGAGGTAGTGAACAAAGAGTTGCAGAGGTTGTAGAGGTGCAGATTACGGAGAGGTGCACATAATGGAAAGTGGACTTGGTCATTGCACTCAGCCATAGTACATTGACCTTGTCCCAGTGACTAGCTTTGCAAAAGGCAACTGGCTTGCATGTGCTGTTTTGCCAGGGAGATCAACAACTGTCTCAGCTGCATGTTACCACGTGTCTTCATGCTATTCTTCAGTAATGAAAATCACACGTCTATACATGAAGATAATCACAACCCATAGTAAACTGTAACGGTGAATTTGACAGGATTGCTTGGCTGTTCAAAATTTAAGCTACGGTGCATAGAGCAGAGATTTTAATCGATTAACGACATCACTGTGTGCATCCTACTTATTTGTGTTGGTTATTTGTTAATGTTACGTGTGCAATTGAGTGAACGAACAAGAATTGCACTATCGAAGCAAGAGTACAATGAGCGAAGGCATGAGCGAAGGATTATATAGCGAAACAATAGTGGTAACGGTACTGGACTGTGGTTGTCGCGCGACGAGCCTGGGACTGAGGTTGGGAAAGTGTCGAAGCGTAGGCCCGGAGCGCGGGTTACCAGCCGAGCCGTGAGGTCGGGATGCGATGTGCGAAAAGGGCGGGATGATGAATGATGCGATGGTCGCGAGTGGTAACGGTGCTGACTGAGGTGCTACAGTGATGTACGCGTTGAGCAGGGACGCGAAGTAAGGAAAAGGGAATTTCCTTACAGTTAAAAACCAGTGTGTCCCCATGGAATATAAAGGCAGGACTGGACTCTATGAACCAATTGAGCGGATTTCCATGACGATTATACACCCAATTTCGAACAGGGTAGTACATGCCAATACTGTAGCATAGCGAGACTAGGCGTTTATACGCGCTGGAAATTCGGATGCGCCTCACACCCCACGCCTACGACACCTGCGCTCATCACACCACTGAGCCGTTGCGACCGTGTCGCAATCGCTGTGCGGCGACTCACGTCGCCGCGATTTCAGGTGTTCCCTTGCACAATCACGCTGTGTCGACCTGTTGTACGTGGCTGCACGACGTTGTGCGACCACGAGCCCACCTTCCCTCTCTCGTGTAGTTCGCTGAGTAGTCGCAGCTGCTCATCGGGCATGGTATGTGACTATTGTGATAATATACGTGCGGCACCTGTCGCGTTGCCTGTAATTCAGCAACACGAGGGAGTCGGGCAGTTCAAACTCTCACTCGTTGCCGCTGGTTTATTTATCATAGGCCGTCCCTTTCGCACTTAGCGGCAAAACAATCAGCAGCGCGCCGTAGGTATCCAACGGACCATACAGTCAGTGGCGCGAACACGAGTGCAGTTTCTGGAAACCTGGCCAAAGCGTCATTACCTGTGACCGTGACCGTCTAGCTTCTTCCCATCTACAGTAACAGCCCATGTACCTGTGCTCTGGAGAGGCGGTGGATGTCGAAGGACCATCGTGCTTCTCTAAACCGCATGTTCAAACCCTCATCAGCCTGGTGCTGCTCATACGTGGTGGTTGGATCACGTACACCTGCTCCACCACCGTGTCTGGTACTCGGACCTCAGCAACCAACTGACATTTAATGCTAGTATCCGCTGGTGAGTCAAGTCACTATCTAATTCCTAACTTCCGTAACACGCCCGTCATGGGTGTGAACCTAGATCCAACAGTTCAAGCTCAAACCCTTAATGCGCAAGTAGGGGTTGTTGAGTTGCCTAGTTCTACCAAATCGCCAGATGAGAAGAGATATATGGAGGTAGTCACACCAGAGAAAACGGCCCAAGTCGTCAACGAGTATCGTAGGAGACATCCGTCCAAAGCTTGCAACGACAGCAAATCAGGGGGCGATTCTTCATCTGAAAACGACTCCAGCCGTGACGGCGATGTGGAGTCATACGCAAACAAGGCTATTTCATCGCCCCCGAAACGGAGGGAACGGCGTATCAAGAAGTTGGAAGAATGCAACCCCAAAATAGGCCAGAAAGGTACGTGTTCACCGGATCCCACCAGCAATTATATGGCTCCTTGCGTAATTTCTGGGATGCCTATAGGTTGTTACCGCGTATCCCGCTTACGTCACATGTGACTACTCATTTTTCTCTTTTTATGCTTTTCACAGCCGGGTCAGAAGAGAAGGGTCACTGCCGTCCGAGAGCAAAGCGCAGGAAGGGGAGGAGTGCGGTGGAGAGGGGCAGTTCTTTCCATCGTCAGGATAAGGTGGCATTGGCCGGTGGCGACGACGTGCTACATTCTGGGCCTGCCAAAGACGGGGAGGGTAAGGGACGAGGGGCTGTAGGCGCTAAGGGCGACAGTGATGGGGAGCGCAAGGGACGAGGGGCTGTAGGCGCTAAGGGCGACAGTGATGGGGAGCGCAAGGGACGAGGGGCTGTAGGCGCTAAGGGCGACAGTGATGGGGAGCGTAAGGGACGAGGGGCTGTAGGCGCTAAGGGCGACAGTGATGGGGAGCGTAAGGGACGAGGGGCTGTAGGCGATAAGGGCGACAGTGATGGGGAGCGCAAGGGACGAGGGGCTGTAGGCGCTAAGGGCGACAGTGATGGGGAGCGTAAGGGACGAGGGGCTGTAGGCGCTAAGGGCGACAGTGATGGGGAGCGTAAGGGACGAGGGGCTGTAAGCACTAAGGGCGACAGTGATGGGGAGCGTAAGGGACGAGGGGCTGTAAGCACTAAGGGCGACAGTGATAGGGAGCGTAAGGGACGAGGGGCTGTAAGCACTAAGGGCGACAGTGATGGGGGGCGTAAGGGACGAGGGGCTGAAGTCACGTACAAGCGGCGCAAGGTGGTTGACACGGGCGGTCACGACAGAAAAATGAGGAAGGCTCGCCAGGGACGGAAACGGTACGCTTCACCCAGATCGTCGTCCGGTTCCGAGGAGGGATCCAGCGACGGGGAATCTGGTAGTTCATCTGGCAGCGAATATGGGGACGAGGAGGAGGAGGAGGAGGAGGAGGAGGAGGAGAGTGAGGACCAAGATCTGGAGCCGGAAAGCGAGGAGGCGGATGAGGTGCGTCCCAAGAGAAAGGGGCGTGATCGGAAGGCCAAGAAGGGCATTCCTAAGAGGAACCGTGACAAGGGTCGGGACAAGGGCCGTAAGGGGCGCGACAGTCGTGGGAAATCGCATGGCAACAACGGTCGCCGGCGTGTGGTTTCCCAGGTTGTCCGTGTGCGCCCCAAAGTGAAGCCCGAGCCTGAATTCTATGCGGAGATGGGAGTGAAAGCAACTGCTGCTCCTACTGGATATCTTGATCGTAAAGACCAGACCCGAAGGAGGCGTGACGATCGCGAGGACCCTTATGCTGCTCTCAGAGGGCCATCACTAAATGCTGGGAAAGGAGCAGACCCGTTGCCTACAGGGTCATGGCGTCATAACAAGGAGGGAAAAGACCCACTTGCGAAGCGTCTCGAGACACGGGATTCACCGGATCTTGATAAAGACGACTTTAAGCCCAAACGGTACGCTGACCCAACGGCCGCAGCAGCAAACGACGGTGTGGCAGGTGGGATGTGGGCAAACACATTGGGTGATTGTGGCGGAGTTATGGCTGGCTCTCCGTACGATGAACGTGACGAAAGGGGCGACGACTACACCTGGAAAAGGGATCCACACACGAACGAGGGGAGGGGTGAGAGCATGTGCACGCCCGGTGCATCTGGTCGTCTCAATCCGGCTCGCCCCAAGACGGTGGAGCAGCTCACGCGAGAGCTTGAGCTAGCAAACAGCGAACTAGCAACCCTCAAGGCAAAACCAGCTTGCAATGGCGTCAAAAACCGCGGACCCCCTTCCCAAGTTCCTCCTCTGGCACCTTTGGCGAGCGACCCATCACCTGGGGGCCTCAGTCCCGAGGTAGCTGATGAGAGCACCCCGACAGAGGGCCAGCCCATTCGGCGCAGGCATGGAATGCCCACTCTCGAGAAACTGAGGGTGAGTGTGAGGGGCACTCTGCGTTGCTTTCATGCTCATTCGTAACCCCCTGCTAGCATCTTGCTATTCATGCTCATGTTAACCCCCCTTGCTAGCCCCACATTGTCCAGCATGTCGTTCCAAACCCCCTCTGCCTGCACTACGTCTGTTCTTGCTCATTCGTAACCCCCTTGTGGCCGCATATGGCAGTATGGCCATCTATCTTGCATGTTACTTCACCTAATGTGCCTTCGCGGTCATCCGCAGGTGGACCCAAAGACGTCAGGACAGGCACTCATCAACGCGAAGACCACAACCATGCATGTAACGTGTCAGAGGTCCACTGGTGATCCCCGATTGATCCTAGGGAAGGGTTACAGGCTCGTTGTCCTGGGGGGTTATGGGCGCACTGACCCGCTACTTAACAAGCCCTTTTATCCCAATGGTCTAGTGGTTGGGATTCTGACATAACATTGTTTATTATAAAACGAATCACTGCACACAATACAACGTCTGATCTTTATGATTGCTTGTCCTAATGTGTACCACCTTGTTGCCCCTCGGTTGCGCAAGGTCACCAGGTACCACAACAACCTAGTAGCTGGGGCTATAGTGTGTACACTTGTCAATATCTCGAGCCACTGGTGACATCTGGATTTGTGATCGTGCACGAATACATATCGTTCAGGATTGTGAGCGCGGCGAAATACCGCCTGCGTGTCGGTCTGTGTTCTCATGCCGAAGGGACGCTGATCCCCAAACTTCAGCACCAAGGTCTGCGCATCCATTTGCAGCCTGTTCCTCTTATAGACGACGATGGTTATATATGCATTGACCGACCGGTAGACATGCGGCAAGAGTTGCTCGCCCAGAAGGAGAAGATATCAGTTATCGAGGATGACATCCAGATCCTGACGACCAAGATCGAGTTTCTCCCCATCAGCAAAGGCGTGACGTCAGACGAACTGGACGCAGGGGCGCGTCATCACTTGGGTACCGTGGGTGACGCGCTGGGCTTGAAGGCGACACCTCGAAAACACACGAAAGCCGATGACATTGCAGATCAATGCGGCCAGCTGGAGCAGTTCAATGCTTGCTAGTTCATTCATTCCTCATTTCTTTACATGGTATAGAGCAGGTTCCCTAGTGGGAACGCTTCCTTGGGCCCACCACTGAAACTTTTTTTCTGACCGGAGCGTCAGTCGCTCCTGCCCGAGGCGCGCCTTGTTCGCCGCCCTTCCAGGCCCCTCGCGGCCCCTAGCGACCTCGTCGCCGCCCCTACGCGGCCCCGTCGCCGCCCCTAGCGGCCCCGTCGCCGCCCCTAGCGGCCTCGTCGCCGCCTCTCTCCCTACGCGGTCCCGTCGCCGCCCCTACGCGGCCCCGTCGCCGCCCCTACGCGGCCCCGTCGCCGCCCCTAGCGGACCCGTCGCCGCCCCTACGCGGCCCCGTCGCCACCCCTAGCGGCCCCGTCGCCGCCTCTCTACCTACGCGGCCCCGTCGCCGCCCCTACGCGGCCCCGTCGCCGCCCCTAGCGGCCCCGTCGCCGCTCCCCTTCCTACGCGGCCCCGTCGCCGCCACTACGCGGCCTCGTCGCCGCCCCTACGCGGCCCCTTCGCCGCCCCTACGCGGCCCCGTCGCTGCCCCTAGCGGCCCCGTCGCCGCTCCCCTCCCTACGCGGCCCCGTCGCCGCCACTACGCGGCCTCGTCGCCGCCCCTACGCGGCCCCGTCGCCGCCCCTACGCGGCCCCGTAGTCGCCCCTGGCGGCCCCGTTGCTGCTCCCCTCCCTACGCGGCCCCGTCGCTGCCCCTAGCGGCCCCATCGCCGCCTCTGCCGGCCCCGTCGCCGCCTCTACCGGCCCCGTCGCCGTCTCTACCGAGCCACCTAGCAGCTGAGCCGCCCAACAGCCGAGCCGCCGAGCCGCCCAGCAGCCGAGCCGCCGAGCCGCCGAGCCGCCCAGCAGCCGAGCCGCCAAGCCGCCGAGCCGCCCAGCAACCGAGCCGCCGAGCCGCCCGACAGCCGAGCCGCCGAGCAGCTGCCGTCGAGCCGCCACTGTCACTGCCGAGCCGCTGCCACCGTTGTTGCAGCCCTGCTCCTCCCGGCGCGCCCCGGCTCTACCCACCCGGTCTGGTGAGAGCCCTCCCTGCTAGACCACTGCTCTCATGGCTACCCCGAGTGTCCTTACCTTTGATACTGAGCGTCGTGCTGTTGACTTCGAGGTCTGGGTCGATGACCTGCAGCTTTTCCTACAGTGCGATAGGGCAGACGGACTCTCCCTGTTTGATCTCACCTCTGGTGCCTCTCTTGCCCCGCCGGCTCATGCTGACAGCACTTTTCGCTCACAGTGGGCCACGCGCGAGGCTGCTGCCCGTCTTGCTGTGCGTCGCCACTTACCGACCGCTTAGCGTGCGCACTTTAGTCAGTACAAGAGTGCTAAGACCTTCTACGATGCTGTAGTTGCGCGCTACTCTTCCCCTGCCACTGCTGCCCTTAGCCACCTCATGCTGCCGTACCTGTTTCCTGACCTCGCCACCTTTCCCACTGTCGCTGACCTCGTTACGCACCTTCGCACTAGTGACACCCGCTACCGCGCTGCGCTTCCTGCTGAGTTCTGCGCCAAGAACCCCCCCCCTATGTACATCACCCTCTACTACATAGTCACCCGGCTCCCTGACTCCCTTCGCTTAGTCAGGGACCACTTCCTCTCAGTTTGCCCCACCACACTCACCGTTGACCTCCTCGAGGAGCGCCTCCTAGAAGCAGAGAAGAGCATAGTCGCTGTAGGAGCCTCTCGTGGTGACCCTCGCACCCCCGTCTTTGAGGGGTGTTCCCCTTCCCCCCTCTTGCCCTCTGTTGCTTCTGCTGCTGCGGCCGACCTCGTTGGTTTCGAGTCGGTCGGCGCTGCGTCTACCCCTAGCGGGAGACGCTGCACCGGCAAGGGCAAGGGGGGCAAGGGCGCTAAAGAGCCTGGCGGGGGCGATGTAGGTGGTGGTTAAGGCAGTGGAGGGGGTGGGGGTGGTGGTGGGAGTGGTGGCGGGGGTGGAGGTGTCGGTGGCAGCAGTGGAGGCGGAGGAGGCGGCGGCGGTGGCGGAGGGAGCGGAGGCGGCGGAGGTGGCGGAGGCGGCGGAGGTGGCGGAGGCGACGGAGGTGGCGGAGGAGGCGGCGGCAGCGGTGGAGCTGGTCGCGGCTCTGCGCAGAGGAGTGGGTCCGGTGGCGGTCCGCGCCAGCAGCAGCAGCGCAGTCGTGAGACCCTGTCCCCTCAGCAGCTTCGTGAGTGGTACGCTGCGCGTCAGCGCGGTGGGGGTACTGGTCCCTGCACCTACGTCCTCCGTATCGGCGACCGCGCTGGTGAGCAGTGCGGGGGCCCGCACTCCACCCAGCGCTGCTTCGGCCGCCTGACGTACGCGTGGCGTCACCAGTTCCCTGACGCCTCTGAGATCCCTTGCTGGGGAGAGCTGTCTAGGGCGGGGGTTGCTATCTTTGATCTTGATTATGATGCTATTCTTGCTGCCATGTCAGCTGTGTCTAATAGTGTTGAGGGTGACTGTTACCTGTGTGTTCCGCCTGACCCGAGCATTGAGGCTGCTGCTCTAGGTGTTGGTGAGGCTGCTGCTCTAGGTGCTAGTGCGTCTGCTGCCCCAGGTGCTGGTGAGTCTGCTCTCTCAGGTACTACGTCGGCTCAGGCCTTACACACCTTCACCCTTGACTCGGGTGCTTCCCGCTCCTTCTTTCGAGACCGCACCACGCTTACGCCGCTTAGTCGGCCGGTTGCAGTCTCCCTGGCGGACCCCTCTGGGGATCCTATCCTTGCTAGCTTCTCCACTGTCTTACCGTGCCCGGCAGCCCCCTCTGGCACCCTGTCAGGTCTCTACCTCCCCTCGTTCTCTACGAACTTGGTGAGTGGTGCTGATCTACAGGATAGGGGGGTTGACCAGTTCACTCCTGCGAGTCAGCGGGTGACCCACTGCACGTGTGCTCAGACAGGCCGACACTTGGCCACGTTCACCCGTCGGCCGAGGTCGAGCCTATACACACTTACTACTGAGTCTCCTCCGGCTGCTGAGTCTGGTTAGGTAGCTGCGTCGAGTCAGGTGTTTGCTGCAGCGTCTAGGTCTGGTCCTGAGTCTGCTCCCTGCTCGTGTCGTCTCCTGTCCCACCAGACTCTCCTTTGGCACCACCGCCTTGGTCACCCCTCCCTGCCTCGTCTCCGAGGCATGGCCTCCCGTGTCCTTGTCTCTGGTCTCCCCCGGTCTCTCCCTCCCCTACCTCCGGGGCCTGCCCCTACCTGCGTCCCCTGCGTCGAGGGGCGACAGCGCGCCGCCCCTCACTCCTCCGAGTTTCCTCGGACAGAGGCTCCGCTGCAGACTCTTCACATGGACGTGTGGGGCCCCGCCCGCGTCCGTGGCCAGGGGCACGAGCGTTACTTCCTGTTGGTGGTTGACCACAACTCGCGTTACACCACAGTCTTCCCCTTGCGCAGCAGGGGTGACGTCACTGAGGTGTTGATCGACTAGATCCGCGCAGCTCGTCTCCAACTCAGAGAGAGTTTCGGCTCGGACTTTCCTCTTCTGCGTCTGCACTCTGACAGAGGCGGGGAGTTTTCCTGTGCCCGCCTGGGAGCCTTCTGTCAAGCATAGGGCATCCGCCAGACCTTCACGCTTCCGGCCTCTCGACAGCAAAATGGGATTGCTGAGCGCCGCATTGGCATGGTCATGGACGTCGCTCGTACGTCCATGATCCATGCGGCTGCCCCCCATTTTCTGTGGCCATTTACGGTTCAGTACGCAGCGCATCAGCTCAACCTTCAGCCCCGGGTCTCCTTGCCAGAGACCTCCCCCACCTTGCGGTGGACGGGGAAGGTTGGCGATGCGTCTGCGTTTCGGGTCTGGGGATCTCAGGCGTTTGTCCGCGACTTGTCTGCGGACAAGCTGTCCCCCCGTGCTGTTCCCTGCGTCTTCCTTGGCTTCCCCCCTGACGCGCCTGGGTGGCAGTTTTACCACCCCACCTCGCGCCGTGTTCTGTCCTCCCAGGACGTCACCTTTGACGAGTCGGTGCCTTACTACCGTCTCTTCCCCTACCGCACTGCGCCCCTCCCCCCGCCGCCGCTCTTCCTTGCGCCAGGTCCTCCCCCGGTAAACCCCCTCCCCCCTCATTTCTTTACACCTTAGGGTGCTTGTGAGGTTTAGGCACTGGAACCGATGGTGTGAGGATCTAGGATCGAGCTCAGAAAAGAGAATTGTACTTGAATGATTCAACTGGGTACAACACAAGGCTATATATAGTCTCGACACAAGGCCAGTTACCCAGGTGTTACGCGAATGTTCTGAGGGTCGCGAAGCCTCCCGAACAGAACCTTCCCGAACTCAGTAGAAAGCGATTCGGTGGAAACCGAATAGGCTTGAGTTCGGTACACGCAACTTGGTTCGGTGCTATAACTAAGATAACACATAGGAATGCACCTAACCTAGGAAATCAAGCATATCTATGCATGATAAATAAAACCCAAGCTAGATATAGCGTAATAAAGTCTAGGCAAGCTAGCAAAGCCAGCATAAGCCATTGTACTCTCACACGTCCCCCCCTCAAAGCTGGGTGGCGTGAGAAACACCCTGCTTGACAAGATAGTCCTTGAGAGCACGGCGTGTGTTGCCCATATCAGCTTCTGCAACCCAACTGTCCTCAGTGGGGTCGTATCCCTTCCAGCGTATCAGGAACTCGAGGCCCTTGCCGCCGCGGCGCCGATGAAAGAGAACGCGCTCAATCTCGTATTCTGGTTCATCCTGTATGAGTATAGGTGGTGGTGGCGGTAGCTGCCGTCCCTCGAACTGTTGGTTCGGGTCCTTATAGGGTTTCAGTAGCTGAACATGGAAAGCGTTGTGAAGCTTCCATGTATCTGGTAAGCGCAAGCGGAATGTAACTGGTGTCACCTGTGCCTCAACGAGAAAAGGACCACAGAAGCGAGGCCGGAGTTTGGATGGGAGGTGAGACAGGTTCAAGTTGCGCGTATCAAGAAGCACCTGATCTCCGACTGCTACTAAGTGATCTCGTAGCTGACGATCGGCATACTGCTTCAGGGAGGTCTGCATCGTGGTGAGTCGTCGC